CCGACCCCGCAACTGACCTGAGTGTTGTGGAGAAGTTCCTCTGCCCTTTCCAGTGTCCAGACTGTGCTCCTTTCCGAGAAGACATGAGCTTTCTCAGAAAAAAAAGCCCATGGAGAGCAACTCACCTCGCCAGCATGAGCCAGGTTTTCACTGCAGCCGCCGCCTGTACACCTGTTACCAAGAGAAGTCAGACCGAAGAGTCACACAGATTTCTTTCCATTTCTATTCACAACCAATGTCTGCAGTAATGGGAAGGAACTTTTTAAAAAAATTGATTTCAAGATGAGTCATTGATTGGATGCCTCCTGCACACCCCACACTGAGAATAGAGCCCACAACCCGGGCATGTGCCCAGAACCCTTCAGTCCACAGGCCAGCACTCTATCCACTGAGCCAAACCGACCAGGGCAGAATGGGACTTTTTAGTTGGAGGACCACTTTTGCAGAGTTAGCAGCTTTCCAAAATACACACACCCACAGCTGCCCATTTCTGTCCCCAAAACCAACGCATCCCAGCTACAGGTGAAACTGATGGCACTCTGAATAGATGAAGAGGGATTTCTTTTTTAAATTATACTAAGAAATTAAAAAGTAGATTTCTCAAAATTTAAATGATTGACACTACCACTGTGCACCACCATACTTTTTAAAAAATTAAACAACAAAAAAGTTTAAAAAGTTAAAAATGTTTAAATAAAAAAAAACATAGAGTAGGAATATAAACAAAGAGAATACTTTTGTACAGCTGTATATGTTTGTGTTCTAAGCTAAGTGTTATTACAAGGTCAAAACATCTTAACATTTTTTATTAAGTAAAAACAGTAAACTGAGGTTAATTTATTATTGAATAAAGAAAAAATATTATTTTATAATGTAGTTTAGCCTAAGTGAACAGTGTTTATAAATTCTATAGTAGTGGCAGTAATGTAATGTCCTAGGCCTGTAATCGGCAAACTCATTAGTCAACAGAGCGGCAAACTACGGCTCTCGAGTTTGCCGACCACTGTCCTAGGCCTTCGCAGTCACTCGCCGCTCACTCCCTGACGCCCAGAACAGCTTTCAGAAATGCACAAATGGAAGTTCCATTCATGGTAAGTGCCCTAAACAGGTGTACCATTTTTTGTCTTTTATACCATATTTTTACTATACCTTTTCTGTGTAGATACACAAGTACATACAGCACTCAGTACAGTAACCTATCGTACAGGCTTACAGCCCAAGAGCAACAGGCCGTGCCATGCTGCCTGGGTGCCTAGGAGGCGAGGCCATCCAGGCTGTGTAAGGGCATATGCTGATGTTCGCACGACGGCAAAGTCGCCAAACAACACGTTCCTCCGATGGTTAAGTGGAGCATGATTGGGGTTTGGTTCATCGTTCACCCATTGAATAATGTTATTTCCAGTTTGTGGGATTACAAACGAAGCTGCTGTGAACATTCATACACAAGGTTTTCAGGTAAACAGTTTTCATTTATCTGAGATAAATGCCCCAGTGCATTGCTGTCGGTGGCAGTTACAAGTGTAGTTCTATAAGAAACTGCCAGTGTTTTCCAGACTGTGGCACGACGTTGCGCCCCCACAGTGATTCAGGAGTGGTGGTTTTTCTGCATCCTCACTGGCACTTGCTGTTTTCATTTTGGCCATTCTCGTAGGGGCATAGTGACCGCTTAATGTGAGTTTAATTGGCATTTCCCTACTGGCTAACGTTGAACATCTTTACAGGCACTTATTTGCCATCAGGGAAATGTTTCTTCATATGTTTTGCCCACGTTCTAACTGGATTTTCTTTTTCTATGTTGAGTTTTGAGAGTTCTTCTTTACATATACTAGGAATTTACTATGTGGTTTGTACGTTTTTCGGGGGGGGGGGGGATTTTTTGGGTTGCACTCTGGAACTTACCTTTTCATCCTCTTAGTGTCTGTCATAGAGCAAACATTGTAATGTTAAGGAGCTCCAATTTATTAATTTCTCTTTTGTGGATCATGCTTTCTTATTTATTGTTGTTGTTAATCCTCACCCAAGGATACTTTTCTATTGATTTTGGGAGACAGTGAAAGGGAGAGCAAGATACACACAGAGAGACACATCAATTGGTTGCCTTCCACACATGCCCCAACCGAGCCCGCAACCAAGGTACATGTCCTTGACCGGAATCAAACCTGGGACCCTTCAGTCCGCAGGCTGACACTCTACACACTGAGCCAAACCAGCCCAGGCTGTGGCTCATGCTTTTGAGAAAAAGTCTTCCTCTTTCCTCACAATAGGTCCTAAAGATGTTATTCAATTTTCTTCTATACGTTTCATGGTTTACATTCTATTTTAAGTCTTTGATCCAACATGAGCTCATCTGTATGGTATGTGAGGCTTACAATGAGGTTTCTTTTTGCCTCTCCCTTTCCATGGCCAGTTGCTCAAGCACCACTGCTTTTGCACCTTCATCAAACACCAGTTTGACACATTTAAGTGGGTCGGAGTCTCTGTTTCTATTGATTATATGCCTGTCCCTCTGCCACAGATACTATAGTCTTTTTTTTTTTTTTTAATATTTTTCAATTATAGTTGACATTCAATTTTATTCTGTATTGGTTTCAAATGTACAGCATATTGGTTAATCATATGCTTTACAAACTATTCCCCCTGATATTTCCAGTACCCACCTGGCACCATACAGTTATTACAATATTATGGGTATCTTTTACATCCCCATGACTATTTTGTAACTGCCAATCTGTACTTCTTAATCCTTCACCTTTTTTCATTCAGTCCCTCAACCCCCATCCCTTCAGTCTGTTCTTCTATATCTATGAGTCTGTTTGTTCGTTCATTTATTTTCTTTAGATTCGGCATATAAGTGAAATCATATGCAATACACGGTCTTAATTACTGTAGCTCTGGAGTAAGCGTTCATATTGAGTAGAATGATTCCTCCCACTTCATTCTTTTTCAAGATTGCTTTAGCTATTTTGGAGCCTATGCCTCTCCTTATGTTTTAATATATTTTTATTTATTTCAGAGAGGGAGAGGGAGAGAGAGAGAAACATCAATGATGAGAGAGAATGATCTGCTGCCTCCTGCCTGCTCCCCATCCAGGGGTCAACCCTGCAACAGCCCCCAACCTGGGCTTGTGCCCTGACCGGGAATTGAACCATGACTTCCTGGTTCATAAGTCAGCGCTCAACCACTTAGCCACCCTGGCTGGGCTTCCTGATCAATTTTAAACTAAGCTTGTCTTCAAATATCTTACCGAAGTTTTGATAGGAATTGCATTAAACCTCGAGATCAGTTTGCAGAACTGACATCTTTACTACTAGTATGTTGGGCCTTCCAGTTCACAGATATGGGGTGCCTCTTCACCTATTTAAGTCTCCTGCTATTTCATCCACATTTTATAACTGTCAGCATAAGATCTTGTACATTTTAAGTGTATACCTAAGTATATAATTTCCTTTGCAATGATAGCAAATAGTATTATTTTTAATAACAGTTTCTACATGTTCATTGTTAGTGTATGAAAATGAGATAGATTTTTGCCTGTTAATCTTGTATCCTATGACCTGGCTGAACTCACTGGCGCTAGTTTTGGATTTTCTATGCAGACCACCATGTCTTCTGCAAATAGGGATGGTCTTGTGTCTTTCTTTGCAATTTGTAAGCCTTTCAGTAAGTTTTCTTGCCTTGTTGCAGCGGCAGACTTGCAGTGCTGTGGAATAAGGACTGTGAAAGCTGACGTCCTTGCTCTGTTCCTGTCTTGAGGGAACACAGACAGTCCTTGCTGTTTTACCCATGACATGGCTTTTATCCCAATCCTCTTACAAAATGTAATTTGTCTTCTTTTCCTCTCCCTCCTCCCCCACCTCCTCTTGTTAAGAAGCTGAAGACTTAGGGATTGGCCCAACTGAGATGACAGAGCAAAAAGAGCGCAAAGAAGATGGCAGTACTTGCTCCCCAGGCGAGGCTTGCAGGCCTGATAAAACCAAGCTCCTTTCCAGAGGCTGGGCCCCTTACAGCTCTAATCAGCGCTGGAGAGCTGGGCTGTTATCAGAGCCCGGCATTGGGGGGAGCGGAGGGCCCCTGTAGATGGTGCAGAAGCTGCTGTCCCCGAGCGGTGCCTGTACCTCCGCTGCGCTGCTCTCCCGGGCAGCTCTGCGCTGCCAGCCATGCTGCCTGCCAAGCTGAGCTGGCGATAGCGGAGTCTCAGATACCAGATCCAGGGCGACAGAGCGCCAGGGCCAGGTTTAGATTTGGTGCGCTCCTGGCAGCGGCTCACCCAGAGCAGGGATCGTAGGTGAAGAGAAGAAGCCAAATAAGACTTCCGCGGCTGGGTGAAATGCAAGCGCAATATGCGAAACCCGAGAACCAACTATTTTTAATATGGGAGGGGAGAGGCAGTTTAACCTAAAATTAAAAATAAATGTATCCCACCTGGCCCTCGGTGTCCTCTCCGCTGGGCCCCGCCCCGCCCCCCGCCCTGCGCCCCCCCCCTGCGCCCCGCCCTCCGCGCCCCTCGCGCCCCCCGCCCCCGCCCGGACCACACCTGCGCAGGTGGGACCCGCGGGACGCGCCGCCGTGGGGCGGGGAGCCGGGCGGCGGGAAGGCGCGGCGGCCATGAGGACGCGGGCCTTCCCCGCTGATGGCCGCTCACGGCCCGGCGGAGCCGGGGAGCCCGGCCGGAGGGGGGCGCCGCCCGCTCGCACCCCGGGGCCCCCTTCCCACGCGTCTCCCCCGCCGCTGGTCTGTACCATCGCCGCCGCGGGGAGGCGGAGCGGCCCATCGGGGAGGGACGGGGCGCGCCGGGCGCGCCGGGCGGGGGCCGGGCGGGGCGGGGCGGGGGTTGGGCGGGGGCCGGGCCGCGCTCGGTTCCGGTCCAGGCGCGAGGCCCCTCCTCCGGCGGCAGCGCCCAGCGAGGCCGTGCGCCCTGCGGGCCGCGAGCCCAGCCCCCGCCCCGCGCCCCGCCCCGCGCGGGGACGAGCGCCGCGCTGCTGACCCTGTCTCCTCCTCAGGCGGCGCTGGCGGCCCCGGGACCCGCGGAAGCCGGCATGCTGGAGAAATTGGAGTTGGACGAAGACGGTGAGTGCCCCGCGCTGCCCACGCTCCGCCCCGCGCCGGGCCGGCGGCGGCTCCCCGCGCCCCGAGGCCGCGCCCGCCGCGCCCGGCTTCTGGCTGCCAGCCGCCCGCCGCCGGCAGCGGGGCGCGGGCCCGGGCGCCCGCAGTGGCTCCGGCGCCTCCCTCCGCAGGGGAAGCCGGGGGCCGGGGGCCGGTCCTTTTGTCCCGAGCAGCCGCGGCCGCGGGAGCCAGGTGCCAGGCGCGGGCACTGCCGTCCGCCGCGTCCGCGGGGCACCGAGTTCCTGTGCGGTCCATCCCTGTGGATAGCGAACCGCCCCCTGTGTGTGCGGGACCGGCCCCCCTGTGTGTGCGGGACCGGCCCCCACTGTGTGTGCGGAACCGGACCCCCCGTGTGTGCGGGACCGGACCCCCACTGTGTGTGTGCGGGACCGGACCCCCCGTGTGTGCGGGACCGGACCCCCCTGTGTGTGCGGGACCGGACCCCCCCCTGTGTGTGAGGGACTGACCGCCCCCCTGTGTGTGCGGGACTGACCGCCCCACTGTGTGTGTGCGGGACCGGACCCCCCGTGTGTGCGGGACCGGACCCCCTGTGTGTGCGGGACCGGACGCCCCCCTGTGTGTGCGGGACTGACCGCCCCACTGTGTGTGTGCGGGACCGGACCCCCCTGTGTGTGTGTGCGGGACCGACCCCCCTGTGTGTGCGGGACCGACCCCCCTGTGTGTGCGGGACCGGACCCCCCTGTGTGTGCGGGACCGGACCCCCCTGTGTGTGCGGGACCGGACCCCCCTGTGTGTGCGGGACCGGACCCCCCACTGTGTGTGCGGGACCGGACCCCCCCCACTGTGTGTGCGGGACCGGACCCCCCCTGTGTGTGCGGGACCGACCGCCCCACTGTGTGTGCGGGACCGACCCCCCTGTGTGTGTGGGACCGGACCCCCACTGTGTGTGTGATGGACCGAACCCCCACTGTGTGTGTGCGGGACCGACCGCCCCACTGTGTGTGCGGGACCGGACCCCCCCTGTGTGTGCAGGACCGACCCCCCTGTGTGTGCGGGACCGGACCCCCCTGTGTGTGTGTGTGCGGGACCGGAACCCCCACTGTGTGTGTGTGAGGGACTGGACCCCTCACTGTGTGTGTGTGCATGCGCACGCGGGGCCTTGCCATGGCGTGTCCTCCGGTGAAGGGGAAAGTTGGGTGGGAAGCCTGAAGAGCTTAGGGGATTGGAGTTAGTCACTGTCACTCCATCATTTCAGGCGCCTCTTCTCTCACTTGGTTTTTTCCCTTCTCCTGTTTTTGTCTTCCTTACCTGGATCTTATTTTGAAGCTGTTAAAACGTGAAGGGAATGAGTTTGTTCTTCAGCCAAATTAATATTACCTGGGTCTTTTTTTTTTTTTAACTGTTAAAATTTGAAGGGAGATACAGTAACTGGATTTGGGGCAACAGTACTATTTTAAATGGAAGCTAATGAGTTCAAAGTGGAAAAGAACTTGGTCTAAGATGCTTGACAGTTTGAAAAATGTGAAAGACCTGGACACTGTCTTGCGGACTTGCATTATTTATTCAGTGACTTCTTTCTCCCGAGCGTCTTGATGGAATGAAGCTCCTGGAACAAAGAATGTGCCATGTGGGTGCTGTGCCCTGTGCCAACTTTGCTTCAGTTTTCTGTTCATTGACAAGCGGGTACTTACATGACAGACAGGAACAGCCAGCTGAGAATGCTAGCCCGGAGCATTAGGCCAGTGCCTGCATTTGTTCTATGTTTCAGTTCTCTGTAGCCTTTCACAAACACCTAGGCCAGGAAATAATGCACTCACAGTAATCATCGTTAAAAGCCTGCATTCCTATTTGTTAACAAGCGCTTACTTGATACATTTCAGACTTTTACTGAAACATAATTTGCATTTTATCTTACTGAGGAATCCACCTCATTTTGGCCCCTGTCCATAGGGCAATATGGTGTGTCTCCCTTTTCAATTAAGACTGCGAATGGCCCTAGCTGGTTTGGCTCAGTGGATAGGGCCTGCGGACTGAAGGGTCCCAGGTTCGATTTCGGTCAAGGGCATGTACATTGGTTTCGGGCACATCTCTAGTTGGGGGCGTGCAGGAGGCAGCTGATCGATGTTTCTAACTATCCCTTTCCCTTCCTCTCTGTAAAAAATCAATAAAAAATATATTTTTTAAAAGACTGCAAATGTCTAAATCCTAGGGGTTTTCTTTGTCTCTGACATTAGTAACAATGAGCCATCCACTGCATCTAAACTTCTCGCAGGTTCACCTGGGGAAACGAGGAGAGGAGACACCAGGTGCAATTAGGTACCACAGTCATGGTCAAGCACACAGGCCCAGCTTCCAATCTTAGCTCCACTTCTTATTTAGCTGTGTGACTTTGGACAGGTAACTTAACCTCTCTGTGCCTTGCTTCCACCATTCATAAGATGGAGCTACGTAATATCAGGGAATTTTGAGGATAAAATGAAACAGTCCATGTGATGATATTTAATGCAGTGTAAACCCAGAGGAAGTGTTATTAACTATTTTTTCTTAAGAACCATTATCCACTGTACTGAATTACTGGACTTCCTACGGCTTTATCAATGAATCTTAACACAGAGACTGTCTTCTCAACATGGATTTGATGGGTTCTTTCCTTACTGGAGATTTACATATTTAATTATGCTTCATTTCTCAGAGCAGATATACAAGCCTTATTTCTTTTGCATTGTTTCTGTCAATGGAATGCATATAAACTAAGAATCCTAAGCACCGAAGAAAGGAATTTCCCATTTTCACTCATCTATTTTTATCTATATTGCTCTCATTATGCTAAAGCATACTGAATCCCATAAATAACCTTGCCAAACTTTTCTAGATTTTTAAGGAGGAAGAATGTTAAGCAATCACTCAGAAGCTGTTAGCTGAGCTAGAAGGAGTGGTGTTGGCGTTTTGTCTAAAATGCTGCTTTGGTTTTCTTTGTTTTTTGGTTGTTTTTTTTTTAACTTTAGATTGCTTATTCATCCAAAATATGGAAAAACTGAATATGAAGCAGAATCATGCATTTATTGGTGGGGGGGGCAGTGCTAACAAGACATTACACCTCTAAATATCCTGAGAACTGATGTGTTAGCAGCCTCCATAAGAGATAGCTGTCAAGTTGATTCTCATTTAGTCTTTAAGTTTCCTTCTCATCAAGTTAATCTCGTCATTTATGTATGACAGGTCGGAAGCATTACTTAGAAGGAGATACATTTTGTGTACACGGAAACACGTGATTACTAATATTTTGTTACTAAGTATTTTTTTGTTTCCTCATTAATTATAATTGATGCTATATTTGCTAGAAGCAAATCGGAGGCGCTAGTGAAATTGGAGTAAGCTCTTGGATGTCTTGTGCTGCTGGGAAGGAAAGCTGTCTGGCAGCGTCCCCTGCACAGTGTGGGTCTCTGCCGGGGTGCTGACACCCGCTGCCCACCTGCTTTCAGACGTCAGCTCCTCTGGCCATCACACTGTAACCCAGGGAGCAGGGACTGATGGCACCACGCCTTTAAGGGAAAATCTTTACCGCGTTTGCCTGACTATTTATAGGATAAGTGCATGCCTTTCTTCATCTGCAGCCTCACCACCTCCTCCCGGCCACAAGCCAGTGACAGGAGAGCTTTCTGAGCATAAGAATCGCCAGAGCCTGGCTGGTGTGAGCATCAACCCATGAACCAAGAGGAGACAGTTCGATTCCTATCAGGGCACATGCCTGGGTTGCAGACTCCGTCCCCAGAAGGGGGCATGCAGGAGTCAGCCAGTTAGTGATTCTCATCATTTGATATTTCTCTCTCCCCCTCTCCTTTCCTCTCTCTGTAATCAATAAAAACTTTTAATGTTTTGTGAGAGATCTTTTTAGGAGGCAGATCCTAGTTCCGTGGGTCTGCGATGGGACCTGAGTGTCTGACTCTCTGCCAAACAGCTGGATGCTGCTGCTTCACAGACCCCTCTCTGAAAACAAGGCTCTAGAACAGGCATCCCCAAACTTCTCTGAGGGCCAGTAGCTGGTCTCCGTCTCTCTCCGTCTCAGCTTGCCTGGGCCCAACAGCAAGGCAGGAGGCAGCTGGACACCAAGTCAGCCCAGTGGGCAGGGCTGTGTTCTGTAAACCTTTACAAAAACGGGCCGGATTTGGCCCACAGGTGCAGCCTGCTGTGTGAGCCCTGCTCTGTGTGTCCCTCTCGTCTCTGTGCCTTCGTCTTTGGAGGGTAAGATCTTCTCTGCTCCCTTCTCACCCTGACAATCTTACCACTCATTGGCTCAACCCAAATCTCACTCTTTGAAGCCATGCCCCCAATCCTTCTTATACTTCTCCACCAATTCATCTCTCTTCCCAGTGTCTGATGTGGCTGGCACAGAGTGGGTGCTCAGCAGTGTTTTGGTATCCCAGTGAATATAGACAGTAAAGTTACCCACAGGGGATGTGTTCCAAGACCCCCGGTGGATGCCCGAACTATGGATAGTCCTAACCCCTGTATGTGCTATGTTTTTTCCTATATGTTCGTACTTTTTCACCTCAAAGACATGCTTTACGGCTTCTCTTTGGCATATACAAGTTTCCCGCATCACTAGGCTCTGGGGTAATTGTTTTTGTAAAATAGGGTGACTTGAGCACATGCACTGTAAGGCCAAACAGCTGGTCTGATCATGGAGATGGCTAAGTGACTCTCAAGCAGGAGCAGCCACAGCGGGGAGACACTGGACAAGGGAGGAGTCACTTTGTGGGCAGGATGGAGCGGGAGGACGTGAGATTCCATCATGCTACTCAGAATGGCATGCAGTTTAAAACTTAGGAGTGACTTAGTTCAGGAATTTTCTATTTAATATTTTTGGATCGAGGTTGACCATGGGTAACTGCAACCACAGAAGGCAAGCCTGTGGGTCAGGGGTGTGACCGTAGTTATTTTCTGGGAACGTTGGGTTTGGTATAATGCAAAGTGACAAGAACAGCATCTAGCCCATAGTTGTG